AGATACGGACAGCTCAACGTATCGTACCGTTACATAACGAATGGAGTCACCGTCTCATTAATTATCGTCAGTCACATCCGCGACGTTACGCATGCATCGACAAGTATTTACGGCTCCGAACGATCTTCGATGACAGAAAAAGAGCAACACTCCTTCGATCATGTCGTAACGCGCGATTATTGATACGAGAGGATCACTTTCGCGCTCCTCTCGTCGAACGAGTCACGACGACGTTATTCTATATGCCATTAGACGCGGCATTGGCCCGTGCTGATAAGCGGGTGGTAATCATCAGCAGCTCGATGAAAGCGTCGGATTAATTATCACCAGGGTAAAGCACAGTACCGGATGTTTAGGTATTTAGGCTTTTCGATTGCGGACTGAACACGCCGTCGGGCACGCCCCGGTGTAAGTTCCGAAAATAAGATTAGCGTCCCGGATCTCGCGAACAGCCGTGTTACGGAGAGATGTGAAAATTTATAATCAACAAAGACCTTGGTTCGCACATTAAATTCTCGTGGGATCATGCATGGAAAAAAGTCCGATTAAATTAACGTGACAATGAATGAATCGAATGCGTCTTGGTTGAAAGAAACAAAATTTTTGGTTCTTGAGACTGAATTTCATTTATAAGAACTATACTAAAAAAGAAGTACTACCGTTCAAATAATATTATTTGATTCAAGTGAAATAGTTACTCTAATATACTTCTTGGGAAATATTTATTAGCAATAGAAATATAATTGACTGTACATAAATATTATATTTTCTACGTATATAAGTAGATATTTATTTGTATGTGTCAAAATAATTGCGACAAATATTAAATTCATAATATTGAGAATATCAGAATTTATCTGTTTCCTTCAACTAAAACGTGTTTGATTCATTCATTATCACATTAATTCAAACAATATTTTTTCTTCGTGTGCGGATCGTCCGACTCGGAAATGAGCGCAGTTGCGATTTGAAGTCGTGATTTTCCGGCATCTCCTTTTTCGACTACTCATAGTGAAATTGAAGATCGAGATCAAGTCGAAGATTTCTTTACACGACCAAAGTTGAGCGGAGCCTCGTGAGACATGAGATTTACGAAGTTTGTGGGGAGATCTTTCTTTAAGGACGTTGGTCTCTTCACGTAGATATCAAGCTTTCCTCAACTTTATGTCCCGCGAAAGTCTCTAACTGACTGCATGTTTACTGAAAAGTTATTTCGCCGGCTACGAAACCGTTTTAGCGACTACGAGATATTCGCGTTACCTTTCTTAACTCAATTTCTCCGCAATATTAATCTTATCATTATCAAACAATTTTTTGTTCGTCCATCAATTGATAGTCCTTCTCACTGGACTTGCTTTACGCATTTAAGGATGTATTAATTCTTCTCACACCTACAATCGTGTTTGATTCTCGCTGGTTATCTTTTATATACATTTAATGGATATCGAAGAACCCGATATTTTTGATGATTGATATAATTGGCTCTTGATATTCGATGATTGATGAATATAATTGATATTTGAGGCTTAACCGAAGAAATGTATATAATAATAATATTAGTAGTAATAGTAATATTAATAGTAGTAGTAATACGCAACGTAAAATTATCATCATTAACACTTTCACAACCGCATGTTAGCGCAGTGAAACGTCGCCAGTGGCCGGCAATATTTTGGAAGAAAAAACTTTACGTAAATTCATGAAACAATTAACATTATTATGACGTGCTAAGAAAAGTTTTGCAAGTGGCTTGCCACTGGTACCACGTGGGAGTCACCGGCAAATAGCGACTGGCCTATCAATGGTACCACGTGAGTGTCACCGGCAAATAACGACTGGCCTACCAATGACACCACATTGGTGTCAGCGGTTGTGAAAGTGTTAACGTTATAGCAACTTACTAGAAAAATTTTTCTCCCGACTATAATTCTTTCACTTATACGATTCTAGTTACAAATACCAACATTTCTTTTTTCAGTTTTCGTGGCTCTGTTCCTAACGTTTCCGCCTCGAAATAGTTTCAAGTTATTCTTCTGTCTGAGGAAGTAGACTGATTCACGTTCTCGAAATTTTATAGAAATTATTTGATATTTTTTTATTGTTCAAAAGTCTATGAACATCTAAGACCTCGGCGACCCTGCTTGCCTAGCCCACACGAACATGTGTGCTCTATAACCTAGGCCAATAAATTTCGCACGATTGCCAAAACGACGTTCGGTCGTTTACCTCCTCTCCTCGGTCGCGGCGCCAGTTTCCGCCGAGAATGGTGCACCACGTCGCGCGTCTAATTTTAATCTTTTTTCCCTTCGTTCTCGTCCTCTCTCTCTCTCTCTCTGTCCGTCTTCCGTGCATTCCTTCTCATTCCCGCCGGTGTATGCCACCTCTCGTCAGACTTTCGTGGCGGAACGAGACGCTGACGAGCGTCACGGAAATAGAAGACGACGGACGCGTTAAGATCCGACGTCGTCGACAAGTTCGCCCGAGTTTAAGTCAACCTTCGGACCCCGCCGTGGAGAGCCCGTTTCCTCGGCTATCCGACGGGCTACCCAGCCACGGAATTAGGCGACCCCTGTCGTCAACGTTGTCGTCATCGTCGTCGATCGGGGAGGTCGGGGTGACCGTTAATTCTGGAAATCGCCCCGACCGACGCTTATAGAGACTTTTGTTCTCTCATCGCCGGCCGGCCGGTGTCTATTTATACACGCGCCGGCACTTGTTAGAAATTTCTCATGCCCCGTCACACGCGCCGTTTCTCGTCCAATCCTTTTGTCGAACACTTTTGTGCCCATGTAGCATTCTTTTCGGCGCCCTTTCGCGACTGGTAAGAATCGAAGAATTACGCGAGAGCGTCCTGTTCCATCGTTCGTCGCGATGTTTGCGTTTCCAGCGAAAAATCCCAGTCGGTGTCTCGATGTGAAGTCGATTATGATACTCCATGAAATGCAATTGATTATCAACGATGGTTTCGTTGCAACAGCTAAGTTCTTTTTCTCCGTGCATAATACTGTTTTACTGATTTGATCGATAATACTTTCACTGATTCGACTTTAGACAGTAATAAGTGACGAGGCATACACGGATACGGTAAGTATTCCCGAAAATTGCCCGGCAGCCTGGGTAATCGTCACCGACGCAATACTCGGCGAGCGTCATTACAGCGCGTAATACGCCGTGTAATTAACGACCGCGCACCGACGACGACGATCGCTAATTGCGAAGGCAGAGAGTGCCATTCCGGGCTCTTTGATTGCGTTTGACGAACGAGCCTGTGATAATTCGACTCCCTTTCTCCACGACAGCGATATGGTCCGACGATAATTCACGACGGATGGACATTCAAGACGCGGAACGTTTCCACAGTGGTAATTTCTCGCGCGGCGTAAATCCCCGAGACGTGCGAGTTTGATCTCGGATTAACTCCGACGGAGAGTCGATCATAGGTTGGTGCGAGGGGGGGGGGGGGAAAGAGGGGGAGGACGTCGAGACGGTCGCTAATTTCGAAAAGCGCCTCGTTCGCGCCATGAAGGTAACGTCGGCCGTCTATAAAACACATAAATCGCGAAGTTTAGTGTACCATCCGGTGAAATAAAAGGGAAAAAGGAAACGGTTAAGTGGATGTACGATCTAGCGAATGATGAGTTTACGAGGACGCGCGACACGACGACGACGACGACAGCTCGGCTCACCCTTGACGACTCCCATACCCTATGTAGGAATCGTATACATTCGGCCGATACTGGAGACTGGCGAGATAGCAGTTCGATAATGAAATACAGATTTCACATCACGATGCCATTGCCTTAAATAAGAAGGCGGGAGACGTCACTAACGTGGGGCCTAAATAGCTCAGTAGTAAAAGCGGTTGCCTGGCAAATGGGAAGACCCGACTTTGCTTCGCTTCGGTGATTTTTACCTCATGTAACAATTGAAAGTGGATATGTGCAGGTACAAATTCGTGTTGTATTCTGGACCCTTCCTCCTACAGTACGTACGCGTTCTAGCTAATGAATACTTTTATAACAATTTGATAGCTGTCAAGCTCTGTGTAGAAATGCCAGAGCTCTGACAAGCACAGCAACTGTCGTCAAAGAAATTCACTATAATTCGTAATTAACGTCAACTTTTAAAATTAACCGAAAAACCGAATAACTTCAGATCTGCGTATCTCACATTAGACAAGTTTCAATTAACTACTATTAATACGTATCTTAGAATCATACGTTTAAAACGTCACACTTCTAACCAGAATCTACGTGGATTTCCCAACTAGAATCTATAATTATTTCGAGAAGTCGGTCTACGAGGACGGTCCGATAAGTACTTAGCCTACAAAAGAAAAACGAAAATTTTGGAAAAATGGCAATTTATTTCTCAACATAGTCTCCTTTTAGCTCGATACACTTGACCCAGCGATGCTCCAACTTCTTTAATCCATCTGAAAAATACGTTTTCTCGAAGTCTGCAAAGGCCTCCGTGGCGGCGATGACCTCCTCATTCGACTCAAATTTCTGCCCGGCGAGTGACTTTTTCAAGTTTGGAAACAAAAAAAGTCGCACGGGGCCAAATCTGGAGAATACGGTGGATGGGGCAGCAGTTCGTAGTCCAATTCGACCAATTTGGCCGAATGAGGAGGTCATCGCCGCCACGGAGGCCTACTTTGCAGACTTCGAGAAAACGTATTTTTCAGATGGGTTAAAGAAGTTGGAGCATCGCTGGGTCAAGCGTATCGAGCTAAAAGGAGACTATGTTGAGAAATAAATCGCCACTTTTCCCAAATTTTCGTTTTTCTTTTGTAGGCTAAGTACTTATCGGACTGCCCTCGTATATTCCAATTAGATTCCAAGAAATTTTCTATGCTGCCGGTACTGAGTCACTACTTCGCCAGCGGTTATTTCTTACTTACGCGTTCTATCCATACACGTACTCGTGTTTGCTCCCTATCATCTTTTTCGCGTACTCCCAGAAGCGGAATTAGCGAAGATTTGCTCTCTCTGTTTCAGATCCCTGGAGGTTTTCTACCAGCACGGGAAAACGCACTCGGCGCTGTTGAAAGCGCAACACGCTACCAGTGGTTGCGATCTCAGCGGACCATTGAGATTCTCAAACTCGGTGATCCTGTGGCTACGTTGCAACAAGGTATTTCCCGGTGCATGCTACTTCGATACATCGCGGCACCCGATCGATATCCCGTTGCCATTGCGTACCGTCACCGGCAGACCGCGTGATTTATCGTCACATCGGCTCGTGGATTCTCGTTGACGCGACGAGTTTTCCGTCGTCGTCCGCTACGATCCCGCGTTCATTCGGACGCGATTCGTTATCCTCGTTGAGCAGAAGCTTCGCGACAACGTAGTGACCTTACGACGTTTACGCGAAGTAACGATACAAGAAAGTTTGACGCAATCGGCTCGCAATGTTGCCACGCGCGTTGCGTACTCTCTAAAGTGAAATCAGTGTATTATCGCTGAGAAACAGTCAGAGACGGTCATGATTATAAATATAGCACTGGAAATCGGTAAAATATTGCGAAAAACAGTTTTTAATAGCAGCGATTACTTGCGTCAGTAAAATCTGACTTCAGAAACAATGAAGAAAAGTATTATTTATCACTTCTTTTTTATCATCTTAGTCATTCCTAAGATACTGTGTCAATGATTTTATCTCTGAAATATTCCTTAATTATGTTTAATTAATTTAATTAAAATAGTATTTAAAACATACACGCATACACATACACACACACGATTACCTTTATGGAACTTGAACGCGTAACAGTGACTTGCAGTGAATTTTTCACTGGCCGAAATCAGTGTAAGAAATATAAAACAGAGGAGCTGAACGGAAATGACTAAAAATTAGCGAATACTTATAGAATCTCGGTATAATACTGTTTTACTGATTCAATCAGTGACATTTTCACTGATTCGATTTAAGAGAGTGCATTGAGAAAAATATTCTACTAATAAGAAGAGCAATTACTCAGTTTATATTTTTATATTTTCTTAAGTAGTAGTTATATCTTCAATAAAGAATATTTCTTTATTGATAATAGTTTTTAAATATACTCATAACAAATTTTAGACAAACTTGTTCCCACGTACTCGACAGAAGAATTTTCTTTTCAAGAATATTATAAACTTTATTAAAGAAAAGTTAAATTCGATTAATTGGAATAAGCAAACAAGAGTTTGTTTTAATTTAATCGTTTTAATTTCTTGATTGAAGTATTGAACTTATTAAGATTCAGAATATATTTCAAATAAATTCATACTTATAATATATTATATTTATAATATTGTAATGATTATTATTACTTATACGACTATTATTTATGATGAATTTTTTCGATATATTTGCAAATATATGAATTTATGAAACACTTGAAAGAAGTATTATTTACTTGAATGCAGTATATATTTTTCTATGGGCGACAAATCTTTTGTAGGTAACGAATAATCGCCGATCGATTTGGTTTTGTGCAACGAAAATTTCGGCGAAAAATTTCGATGGAAAATCCCGGAGTGATAGATCGAAAGGAGGACGAATTGAATGAATGACCGCAACGGCGCGTTTTCAACCGCGGAAAAGACGCGTGGTGGACGCAGCTGCCGGCCGTAAAGTACTATCGCGCTTGCGTAGTTAAAATTTATTGTTGCTCGGTATGCCTTGGTTCGTTTTATCGATGTCCTAGAAGCTGAGTGTCGTGCTAATCGACGGCGCCATATACAACGCACGTAGCGTGATAAATATTTCGCTTTATAAACCCGATAGAAAAATCCGAAGGACAAGAATTATCGCGACACGTTCGTGAAAAGCGTCATTTAGCGCGTTAATCGTTGAAAATTATATATATATATATATATATAAATATTCCATACGGTGAATATTTATCTTACCGGTCTTGTATCCGATGCCGCGCGACCTGCCGGCGCGAGGTTAATTTACGAGGACGACTTTGGCGCGTGGTAATGCCGTTCGTCCGTTCCTTCTTGCGTCCGTTCAATCGTTTTCACGCCGGGATCTCAACCGAAATAACTACATTGTGCTCTCAGCGACGTTTCCCCTGATAAACGATAAAGTTTATTGCCTTAAATGCGTTTCGTTTGGTTTATCGTCGCCGTCGACTGTCCGGATAATCGATGCTACCGCTCCCAACGACCGTAAATATTTTGTTCCGTCTCTTTCCGGAGATCACCGTTCGATAATTCTTGCGACGGAGATCGAACCACCCGACGACACCGCTCGACACCGGGCTGATCTGACTCCCCGGGAAATCTCTTTCAATCGAAAACGCAGTCTCGAAGGTGAAATTAACATGTCCCGTGTGGGTCATCATCATGGGTACCACCCACTCGGAACTTATCCGTTCAAATATAAGTCAACATGTCCAAGCATATTAAATAATGTGGCTTAAAATGGCAAGAAATATGTAAGAAAAACTTCAGTTAACACATGAATTTTCAGTGTAATCAGCCATGTACAGGATATATAAACGGTTATCTATCCACAAGTGTTTAAAGTTTACAAATAATAGTACAATTGCTTCAAACATTTTTTTTTATTAAAAATAGAATATAAGAAAGGAAATATAAATATCAAAAGCGATTACGATTGCGATGGTTGAAGCTTTAAGGAATATAAATTAATTAATTACGCCTACATTACGAAGGAAGGAGAACGCGAGAGCGAAAGGGGGACATCACGCGCGGGGGAGAGATCGTCGGACGTCGCGATTAATTTCGATTCGACGCAAGATGTCTCTATCGTCGGATTGCAACTGCATACTCACACACACCCATGCAGACATCTTTGTGCCTCTCGGCTCTCACCGGCCGTGTTTTTTCCTCGCCTTAACAACTTAATGCGATGTCGGGATTACACAGCTGTCAAAGTATCGCCGTTTCGTAACGGGACGTTAAATCGCGCGTGCCACGGATGAACGACATTTCGAAGGGAGGAGTGAATACAAATTGCAAGTTAATTATGTGGATAGATGACGGCACTGATTACACGGGTAGGGGGGGGGGGAGCACCCGCGAATTTATCGGTTCTTAATGTTGTGATCGCGTTACACCGGCATCTCGGAGACGGATGGAACCTCCCCCCTCCCGCTCAAGATTCCTGGCTATCCACCGGGCGCGTATTATTTCATCGGAAATGTTCGCCAAAGTGTCGATCGACAGCTACTGTCACGAGAACTATCATTTCACCGACAGCGCTTTCCGCGTTGTCAATTTACCACGGCGGCTCGCTCGTAAATAGAAAAGCAAATTAGGAGGTACTTTCTGACGATAAATATCGGCTCAACAATCAGCCGCGAATATGCGAGGCATTTTGCTTCGACGTGGCTGCGTTACCTTTTTTTTGCTACCTCTTCCCATCTTTCTTTTCTTACGTTACCTCGGAGGATCTTGCGTGTCGAACGGGATACGCGATCCCTCCTCTCCTCCCCGCAATTGTACGCAACGAAGATTCCTCACGCACGCCAAGTGTCATTGGTGCTGTCTAGAGCCGTAGATATAAATAGAGAAGCGACATTGAACCGACAGGATCGGTTTCATTAGCCGCCTGATTTACACAACCGAAGCGACATTTTTTTTGCGACTGCGACTAAAAGCATACGATGTGCCGGTAAGTTATACTATTTTTATTATAATTGTCGTATATCATGACGCAAAAAATTCCAGTTCTGTGCCGAGTTATAACGAGTAGCTAGAAATTATGGGGAGAATATTTTTACTTAGATTATAATTATTATTAGGGTCAACTTCTTGTAAACCTTTCTTTCTCACGTATCTTCTTTCTTTTACTTCCTTATTCGGTTGCTCTATGCATCGTCGTAAGAAAAAGATGGTCGACTTTCGATATATCGAATTCACAATGTTATTTCTGTATTTGTATCTGGAACTCTAATACAGTCCTGTTTCGTAGCATAGTGACATTTGAAATTGCGTTAAACGTAATACCGTCAAATTGAGAGATGATGACAGATCAGCTGTTTTAGAGCATCATTGCCGAACCATCAAATAATCAACAGTTATGATGCACGAATAATCGGGCACGATGCGCTTGGAAATGTTCAATGTCACTGTGTCTAGGGAATAGGATTGCACTACTGCAGTTTTCTGTACAGTCGGCATCACATACGCCGTATCATTCTCTAGACGGAAAATTACACGATTTTCAGCGTATGTCCACAAAGTCCACAAAGTTGAAAATTGCATACGTAACTCTAATTACGATAATATTGGCTGTATTTATAACGGTCTTGATCTTACGTGCATGATCTACACATGCAAGGTTGGAATGCAATTTTCGATCTAAGGGATGGTACAGTATGCACGACGCCGACTGTACAACGCATTCGTCCTTGTACCACGGTCGAATTCGACACTTACGAACCGTCGAGAGCGCGGGACGCAGTTGCGCGTCGTTAAACTACCGAATTACTGCTGCGTCTCGCACAACTCGGGCGCGTTGATTAATCCGCGAATCGATTAACCTTCGTCCGACTTCCGAGCGGGGTTCCGTCGTCGTAAAAGGAAAGGAAAAAATACAAGAAGAGAGAAGCGAGAGGCAAAACAGAGCGAAAGCCGGGCGAAGGGGGCAGCGGATGCTGATAGCCGCGGCCTTTCCGGCGCGCATTCGCGGCAGGATCGCGAATGCGAATGTTTGACACAGATACCGCGTTGCTGGAAAGCACCGGGTATCCCAGATAGACCCGCTTGCCTGGCCGGCCGGCACGAAACGATCGATACTATCGCTCGATTTCGAAATCGGAAGTCGATCCCGCGGCCTTGCCTGTGCGCTCTGCTCTAAGAGGCGGCCGTTTAAGAATTTCTTTAGCCTGCCGTTGCTGCAAATCTGCGGTCTGAGGGACTTTCCCTGAAAGCGGCGGCATTAAGTAACGGCACGCTCTCGCGTAAGGTCCCGTTCACACCGTATTTCCTAATCGAGCGGACCGCACGAACACCGCGCGCGTCGCAACACAATCGCGCTTGAGAATGAATGGGAGCCTGCGATATGCATGTCTTCCCCGCGCATTTCGTGCGGAACGGGTTCTCTCGTGGTTTCTTTGTGCTTCCGATCGTTGCCGCTTTTTTCTCCGCGACTTCGCCGTTTGTTCGTGCGTCCGC